GTTCTCAGGACTGAACTTCCCAGCTGCTCCTTCTCCGGGTTTCCCCTTCCTTCTCTGCCCCTTAGGTGTTTCCCAAGAAAGGGCTTTAGGATGACTCAGACCCAGTCTGGACTACAGCTTTTGTTCTCTCCCGCCACAGCAATTACGGTGATTGGGTCATTAATGTCGTCATCAGGAGGTAATATACATGCAATGACGTGTTAGAATGTAAGCTTTTCGAGGGTGGGACTGTTTTGCTCACTGTTGTATCCAGCCATCGGCCCCTCACTGGTACTCAACAAATCATTACAGAATTCAAAAGGTGGGGGGTCTATGCCGGCCTTTTCTCCCTGGCATCCCCAGGCCCCCATGTCAGAGCTGCTCAGAGAAGATTTTTGGAGGCTTTCTCTGTTCAAGGCTGCATTAACCTCCCCGTATAGACCATCTCATTGACTCCCCACCACCACCCTCCACGTTATAGCTGGGCAGCGGAGGCCCAGAGAGGTTGTGTGATTTGCGCAAGGTCACACAGGCAGAAAGGGGCTGGGTCACGGTCTGACTCCCCGTCTTACTCTGCAGGGAGTTGGATGATGTCCTTCCAAAGTGGAACCCATGCTCCGGTCCCCAGAACCTGTGAGTGTGACCTTAATGTGGAAAACCATTTTTGTAGATATATTGAGTTAGGGATCTGGAGATGAGATCATCTTGGTTTAGGGTAGGCCCCAAATCCCATGACCAGTGTCTTTAGAAGAGAAGGGGAGGTAGAGAGAACCTACGGAGAAGGCAGGAGGAAGGCAGGGCTACAAACCAGGGCCCACCAAGTCTCAGCGCAAGGCCACAGAAGCCAGGAGAGGTGTGGATTGGACCCTCCCTCAGAGCCCCCAGAAGGAGCCCACCCTGCCAACACCCAGACTTCAGACTTCCGGTCCCCAAAACTCTGAGGGAATAGATTCCTGTTGTTTTTAGCCACGGCAACCCCAGGAAACACAGACCCCCAGATCACAATGGTGATGTATCCAGTGTTTGCCAGGCCTGGAAGCCAGGGGCCTCACAAGGCCCAGGCTGTGTGTCTGGGGCCTGCTCACCTCCTCCTCTGGGCCTGATTGCTGTCCTGTAAAACAGCGCTCAAGACAGCAAGTGTCCCTCCAACTCTGACCTTCTTCAACCCTCACGAGAAACTAGGAGCCAGGAGAGCAGGGCTATGTTGGGATTTTCAAATTTATTCCAACGTGCTGTGTGTGTGTTTTTTTTAAAAAATATCCTCAGGCTGAACACTCAGCCAGAGCTGTAATAAAGGCAATTATTATACTTGTAAAAACCTCTCATTCACAGTACAGATGTAATTTACAACAAAGGTCACACACATCAATACTGAGCATTTTTTTCCTTTTGTACATCAGACTCTGTGCTTTAGACCTGCATGGGTTTTTTTGTTGAGTTTTTTTTTTTTCTCTTTTGCACTGATAGATACCATACCAACATTGCAAGTTGCAGGTGTAGAAACTGGAGTTTAAATAAAATTACAGGCAAAACTACCCCCATCCCCATGTTGCTGCTGTACATATCTACAGGACAATTTTTGGAATGTATTGCCATTTAAGAACATAGAAACTCTCTACAGACAATTTCACATACAGAATACATACACCTTTTAGAAAAAAAAAAGGCAAATATTTATCTTACAGAGCACATATATTTTACAATTGCCTACACGTTTCCTTTTTCGGTTTCTTTTCCTCTTCTTCTTCTTCTTCTTCTTCTTTTTAAACTCTAGGTTTAGTAAAGTGATCATAAGTGCCGAAGCAGTTTTCTAATGGAAAGCAGACTGGAGCCACACCACGGAAGCAGAATTTGCGGGACTGGCCTTCGGGAACTTTCTCCCCCTGCTCAGGGCTGCAGATCTGTCTCCGAGGCAGGGCTTTTGCTTTAAGGGGGATTTTTTTCCTGGAGAAAGGACTGGAGAGCAGTTCAGCTCAGATATATTGCTGGTTCCTATTCAGAAGGGCAGGGTGGAGAATGGAACGGGGCACCAGGGATCTGGAAGGTAATTCTTTCAGACTTTTAACCCCCAGAGGGAGGCAGAGGGACTTCTGGGCCTGGAAGCTGGAGGTGATGGAAAAGGGAGAGTAGCCAGTTTGCTGCTGTCAGTGTCCTGGAGGGGCTCTGCGGCTGGGCCAGAATGCAAGCCATGGGCAGAGGAGCTGGGGGGGGGGGTCTGGGCGTGGTGCCTCGGAGAAGAATGGGGTTAGTACCCAGAATGGCCCTGAGCTTGCTGAGGGTGGGTGGGGGGGCATCCTGGAGGGTAGGCCTGGGGGCTGAGTGTCTTAGAATTCCTAACAGAGGGTGAGGGCTGGCTGGGAGACCTCGGCAGCTTGGTTCCAGCCACACGGCCAAGAGCCAAGGACCAGCCGACACGTTTCCACAGAGCACCAACAGGTGTCTGTGGCAGCCAATCAGCACTACTCTTGGTGCTGCCCCTGCTTAACAGGGACAGGAGCATGACACGAAAACTGCAAATGTGGGAGGGGTTGGGAGTGGGACAGGGTACCCTCGGGGAGGGGGCATGGAGTGAGCGTCCTTTTCCGAACTCTGGAGGCGTGTGTGTGTGTGTGCTGGGGCCTCTGTGCTTGGAGGAGCGGGGCAGAGGATGGTAGGAGGGGTTAGCCCTTGCCCAGCGACATCTGTCCCAGGCTGGTGGCACTGATTCCATCCCTCTGAGGATCGGTGTGGGGCAACAGCCCTTCAGCCAGATTCTGTTTATGCAGTATGTCCCTGTCATTGAGAAACGGATCTCCAGTGACTCCTGGTCCCTGTCCCCTCTGCTTAAACCTGTGGGCCTGAGTGGCTGCGAGGACTCGGCCACATTGACCATGATTGGGTCTCTCAGGGAGGAAATCGCAGTTGGCGGGCTATCCCAGAACAGGGGAATGATGCCCAGGAGAGCAGGGGTGTGTGCCTGGGGGGAGAGGCCTGACTACCCCCAAGGTCAGGGGCTCGGCTCGGCTAGCAAAAACCCCCGTCTGCTACTTTGTAGGTCTGGGCTGGAAGATCTTGCCCAGAAAGGTTTCGAACCTGGGCTGAAGTGATGCCCTTTATCTAGCTCCCGGACCCCAAGGCTAGAAGTGTCCACTGGTAGGGCTGAGAGGTGAGGGTGAGGGAAAGTGACGGAAGCCTGGGCTGTAACCAGGGCCAGGCACCTTCCCATGTCCTGTGAGGCCAAAACAGGGCGAGTAGAGTCAAGGCTGGGCTTGCTGGTCTTCTCCCAGGGTGGCAGGAGCCCCGGACTCTGGGGCAGGCAGCTGAGCACGGCCAGCTGACCTCACCCCCCGCGCCCCAGAGCCCAGCAGACCCCCAAGGAGGCCCTTCCCCATTGTTCGGTTTGTGTCTTAACGGAACTTGGGACTGGCCTGTCTACTCAGCGGAGGCCAGACAGGGAAAGGCCCTGAACTGGCAGAGAAGGGAATTAGAGGCTCAAACCAGTATCCTGTCTGTACAACTTCAGTCGCTCAGGAGGCCCCAGGCACAGGGTTCGCACAGCCTGGCTGAGGCCTGGGGACTGGCCAGGGACTTGGCTGCTCTGTAAGGCGGCTTCAGCACCTAGCCCGGGTGGGCCGGGGCCATCGTCCCTGTGGTTTCTCCCCCTCTGTAGAAATGAAAGAAAAGAAATTCTGGAAGGTTGGGAGAGAACCCGCCTCTCCCAGTGCAGGGTAAACATGAGTTCTCTATTTCAACTTGGGATTTTCATTTCTGGTCATATTATTTCTCTTACAAAGCAGGTTTTTGCCCCCCAGCAAATACAGGGCAGTTTCTTGAGGGAGGAGACAAGGCTGAGGGAGGAGACGCTGCCTAGTACTGATTGCTTTGGAGAAGAATTCAGTTGCTTTAGGACAATTCTTCTAGGTCAAGAGAATCTGAGGAGGCTGGGAGAGGTACCAAATACCATCCTGTGTGTGAGAGTGTGTGTGTGTGTGTGTGTGTGTGTGTGTGTGTGTAATTTTTCAAAGAGATTTAAGCCAACAAACAGGCCTGGGCAGTTCCCAGCAGTCATGGTTTTGGGTGCTTCCTGGGGGGTAGTGGAGGCTTGACAGTGTGTGGGGTGGGGATGAGGGGAGGAACCCAGTCCTGCTTTTGAAAAGAGGTCCAGAAACGGGTCCCTATACACTACACTTACAGTTCTGAGCACTAGAAAAGCTCAGCCATGGAATAAATAGGGCTTTTTGAGCCCTAGGGACCAAACATGCAACGAAACCCAAGCCCTGGCCTCGGTAATGCAAGGCAATACACCTTGGATCTTGACCCCTAGGGTCTGGGCCCTGTCACTTTGGCCTTGTGGGTAGTTTCTAGAACAAGGGAGGCAGTCTGTAGCTGGGGCCCCAAAGCAAGGCCCCATTTGGGTCCTCAGGAACCAGGACATGAACAGTCAGGGCTCCTTTCGCAGCTTAGGGGTTAGGGGTGGGGATAGAGGGGAGGGTTTGAGGGTGGGGGGCTGGGGGAATTTGTCAGGATGCCAGGATGGGTCCATAATTCAGGACACCTGGGTATCAGGGAGTCCTGGGGGAACCAGCAAGCTCCTACCTTCTGTCTGCTCCTCTCATCTGTGTTGAAATCCTAAGAAAGGTAACATTTTATTTTCCTCGGGAAAAAGAAAACTGGAGTTTTCTGAGAGGCTGAGTGGGGTCCCCCTGCCTTGGGCCACTGACCTTCTGCTGGCAGTGAGGGTGGCCGCTAGCTGGGGTGGAATGAAGTGGGAATAAATAGGAACCATGAACATCTGTACATAGGAGTGCTTGCTTTTACATTTAATTATATATTTTTAAAGGTTTTTTGTTCTTTTTTTCCTTTCTCCTTCGGTGCATCCCCCTCTCCCTCAGCATGTGGCCACCTCTTGCCAGCCCAGGGGGGTGGCTGCAGACCACAGTGGCCCAGGTTGAGGCCACACCTACACCCTTGCTCAAAAAAAGCACAGAATATTCACAGCCTCAAACTCCTCGTGGTTTTGTTTTTTTTTTTTTTTTATGTGTGCGTGTGTTTTGTTTGTTTCTTTTCAAGCAACAAAAGGTACAGAAAAAGGCACAGGAAACTGCAAACGTGGGAAGATAGAACAGTTGGGTGCTGAGCAGAAGCTGTTTGGACAGACGGACAGATGGGAGAAGGAGCCTGTGAGAGCAAGATGATTCGAGGAAGTTGGCTGGAAATGTCTGTTGCTGAACACCGGAAGCCAGATGCTGAAGCAGTCGGAGAGAGGCTAAGTGCTTGGGGGGCCCCTGTCCTTGGGCTGGTGTGGAAGTGCCTCAGGCCCCCCACTTCCTGAGGGCTCGGGGGAGCCCTGACTGGTCCTGGGTTCCCCAGAGAGGTTCCTCCTCCGGGCTGGGAAGTGAGTGGAGGCCTCTGCCAGGCAGCCCACGGAACTGCTGCGGTCCAGGGGCGAGGCGGCGGAGGCCACGGGGTTGGCCAACGTGCGTGGTGACTCCAAGCGGGGGCTCCAGGACTCTGGCCTGCGGCCTTGGGGTAGCCGGGGCAAGACCTCGGGCGGGGTGTGGGGGCTGTGGGTGGGCACGGACTCTGTGGGCACCTCAGCCACTCGGGGCTCCCAGTCAGGAGGTCTGCCCAGGCCCCCACTCGTCCTCTCCCTCTCCTTGGGGTAGTCCCTGCCCTCCAGCTCCGATGAGAGTGTGAATTTGGATACCTTAGCCACAGGGGACACGGAGGCTGACGAGCTCTCGGTGGGACTCCAGCGGCCTCGCTCCTGGGCCTCCCGGGCCCCTGTCAGGTCACTGCCACCTCCTGAGAAGCCACTGACCCAGGCGGTGGTGGGCCCTGGCAGCAGGGTGGGGTGGGCCCCCGGCCGGGCCTGCACCATCTGGATCCCGCCGATGGGAATCAGGGGGCACGGGGCACGGGTCAAGTGCTGGGAGTGCAGAGGGAGATGGCTGAAGATGTTCTCCTCTGTCCGGGCTGGGGTGTGGCCATGGAAGTCATGGGGGGCTGAGAAGGGTCGGGAAGAGGGAGGATGAGCAGGGCCTGGTGAGCAGGAGGGACTCCGGGATGCGGTCTTCTGCTGGGGTCAGAAGAGAAGACAGGGTAAGGCTAGGTGCTGGCACATGGAGACCCCCGCCGCCTAAAGATGAGGGGCGGGGGGCTCGCCCGAGATGACAGACAAGTCTTGGCTAAGCTAGGGCAGGAGCTGAGCTCCGACCCCCGGCCCATGGTGCCGCCCTGTCCCCAGCCCTGCAGTGATCATGAGCACACGAGTCCCCACGGTCTTCATGCCTCAGGCCAGCACAGCTGACCCTCTGGCTCAATCCTGCTGCCTCTCCTGTTCCTGGCATGGTCTTGACCCAACTCGACCCTTGGAAATGAGCTCCCACTCCAGGCTCTTTACACTCTCCCACCATCAGCAATGATAATGTGACACCAAGAGGGAAGATTCCCAGCCCGTGCTCCTCCAGGAGCCTAAGCCTCTGAGCAATGGTGTCAGTGCTGCTGGTAGGGGACGGTGGCATGGGGTTATGACAATAGGGCAACAGAAGAGGCACTGGGAGGTAAAGGTAAGCTGACGGGGATAGAGTTGGCGGTGATGGGAGGGTGCTGGGCAGCCGACATGGGAATGCGGACGGAGCTGACCCGGCGGTGGCCGGCGCTTATTAGCTTAGTAATGGTGGAGATGGCGCTGGGGGCGGGGACAGGGAGGATGCTGATGGACAGTGATGGTTTGGCAAGGATGGCGTTGGTTGTGGTGTCCCTGAGGCTGCTGGTGACAGGGCTGCTGGGGAGGTGGGGTTGGGGGGCTGGGAGGGGAATGACACAAGCTTTTCTGCCTGCATTCAAGACCAGCCCCAGTGTCCACGCTCTGCTGCTTCCAAGGCTACACTGGCTGGCTCTGGGGGCCCCTGTGGGGTGCCTGTCATAGGAGGCACCCCACAAACTTCTGCTCTGTTAGCAATCACCCAGCTGGCCGGGCTGTGTAGCTGCGGGTCTGATGCCTCAAGGAGGAGTGCACTGTGCCCCCCCCCATCCCCCCTACCCATCAGGGATGAGCAGCCCAGCCACTCGGGGGCAGGAACTCACCCACGTGGAGGTGTAGGTCTCGGGGCTTCTGCCAAGAAGCTTGTGAGGTAGAGGCACGGGCGGGTAGAGAGCCCGCGGGGCCAGCCCCGAGCCTGGGCCGCTTTCGCCTCCTGAGGGGCTGCCCGGCCCAGCCAAGGCCCACTTCCCTGGCAGTGCCGACCGTGGCGGTGACTCGGCCTGGCCCGGGGACCGTCTCCTGGTGGGTGAGTGTCTGGGGGGGCCCAGGTCCGGGGCCCCCTTGCGTTCGGGGGGCGGATGCACTCGAGAGGGCAGTTCCCTTCCCAGGGGGTGGGGGGTGAGAGGAGATTGCTCGAGTCTTGGAGACCTACAAGGGAGAGGGCCCGTCGGGGGGCCAGGTGGGCTTGAGGTGGAGGCCTGTGGCTCTCGGGCCGGTGAGTGTCGCTGGGGAGACGAGTCGCTTTTGGTTAGTGAGTGTTTGTGGGTCAGTGGTGGGCGGCTGCCTGCGTCTTTGCTTGGGGACCACGGCCTTCTTGGGGACACAGCCTTGGAGCTCAGGGCTGAGCCTGTGTCCTTCTCCACTGGGCCTGGAGGGGCCGGTCCCAGCCGGGGGAGGCACGGGGTGCTGAGGCAGGACATGGAGCCACTGCCAGCTGCCAAGAGCTCTGCTTCCAACCCCAAGCTGCCCCGCGTGGCCTGGCTGCCCGAGGTGGCATCGGGGGGCTCAGGGCCCGGACCGGGGGAGGAGTCTGCCGGCAGCGGGGCCAGCGGGCCAGGCGGGGGTGCCTCCGAGGCCGGTCCCGATGGCTCGTCCTGGCTCTCCTCTTCATCCTCATCCTCGTCTTCGTCCAGGTCTGAGTCTGAGTCCGAGTCCTCCAGGTCTGAAAACTGGTGCTCCACCACGGCCTCTGAGCCCTCTCGCCCTTCTGAGTCCTGGAACGGGTCATCACTGGTTCCTGAGGGGTGGACACAGGAGGCCCCGGGGTCACAGCTGGCCCCACGTGCCGCTGCCCTATCTATGCCCCTGTCCTTGTTTGCAAACCGGGCCTGATAGAAGTGGCCATGGTCCAAGCTTGTGGAGAGAATGGGGGCCACAACACCTATGGGAACACTATGTAAAGAATCCCAGCGAACAATAGTTAAACCTTGTAACTACCTTGGGCCAGGTTCCTTCTAAGACCTTCACGTGTGTTAATTCATCTAATTCTCAAATGCTCCGAGAGGTCCCACTGGTCTTATCTTCATGTTACTGATGAGGGAACCAAGGTAAGATTAAGTAGCTTGCTCAATAAGATAAGTCCCAGGGCTGGGACTGAACCATAGCAAAAGAGACAAACCTTTCTGTTGGTTTGTCTCTTCACTAGGATTTCAGGACGGGATCCCCTCTGAGCCCACGCAGTCACCTTGTTGTACTGTCATCTCCCCTTTTGTCAAACGAATGTGATACTCTCACCTCCTTCACAGGCTTGGCCAGGAGGAATAACCACATGGGACACAGAGGAAATGGCTCAAATAATTATGGCCACTCAATACGTTCATGAAGAAATCTAGTATTCTGGGACCCAGCAGCCAGGTTGGCTGGTCCAGCAGCACCGGCCATGGTCAATCTAAACACACACCTGCCACCCCGGCCAGGCTGCTGGTCCTGGTCTCTGGGAGGGGGGAGGGGTGGCTAAGCTGGCCTCAGACTGCACAGCAGGGTCCCCTCCCAGCCGCTCTTGTCCAGACGATGTGTTGCCCTTGGGAGAACTCCGGCTGCTCCCAGTGAGGAGGGAACGGACTTCTGGAATACTTTCAGGTCTGGCTGCTGGTGGGGCAGCCCCAACCAGCCAGGTCACTTCTAACATGACACCAGTCCAGTGTGGGCATCCCTGAGATGGGCACCAGTCAGGACTCTGGGGAGAGCTCTGCTGACATCTGGCCCACTTGTCAGGCTCCTGAGGGTTTGGGTCATGCCGGCCCCTCTCCACGCTCATCATCAGCACCCATGCCACCACCAACCAAGAGAGCTGGACACACAAGCTGACTTGACCATGGCCGGGCTTCCAAACTCCACCACACCCCAGCAGCCCTGGGGCTGGAAAGTCTGGTGTTCCTGCTTCTGAATAGCTCAGCATGCAGTGGTAAGAAGCCTGAAGTGGATGCTGGTGGGTCAAAAACCATGGGAACTGGGGTTGGTAGATGAAGGGCAGGTCAAGGGACCAAGGGCAGGGTCTCCTAACCACCAGGAGCAAAGGGGAAGGCAGGAGGGATGTGGTGGTGGTGGGGGGGTATGCAAAACACAGAGTTGCAGTGCCCCAGGCCCTGCCTCAGACCTGGTTTCAGACCCAGCAGTTCACCTCACCTCACCCCTCATTTACATATGGGGAAATCCAGGCCCAGAGGGGGCAAGGGCTTCCTCCCTAAGATCAGCCAGGGAGCACTGGCTGAATCAGGACTAAGGTTTACAACCCTTGCATTATTACTCTGCCAGTATAAAATGATATTTATGCACCAAGAAGCAGGAAATGGTCTGGGTTTGGATCCCAGCTTTACCATTCCTAGCTGTGTGGTGGGCAATTGACTTTCTCCGTGTTCAGTTTCCTCATCTGTGAAATGAGGGTAAGAGCAGTAAAAGTGACCTGATGAAGCTGGTAGGAGGATCATGAGGGTCTGACACATAGTAAGTACCCAATACAACTTAGCAAATACCTCAAGTACCCCAAAATGCCAAGCAGATGGTCAGCCTTGCAAGCATCTCACAGTTGATGGTCAGAAGGGTAGTTCTACTTGTGAGAGAGAGTCAAGACCAGTGTCCCCTGATATCCAGCAGGGATATCTTTACGAATGAGGAAGTGGAGGCCCAGAGTGGCCTGCCCTAGGTACCTAGGGTAGGAATGATGGAAGCCAAGGGTCCCCTGTCTAGAATGGGGTTCTCCAGACCCCCTGCATCTGGGCTCCTGCAGGACTGTGTAAGATGCCCTTGCCTGGGGGGCCCATCCCCAGTGCCCCTTACGGAGCTGCCAGTCCACTGCTGGCATTACCAGCAAGCCTCCCTCCACAAAGCCCAGCCCACTTCAGGCCAGGGACCTAGGAGGAGATGCAGAATGAAGCCTGTGAGGGTGCTGAGGGAGTCTGGCCACACGGTGGCACTGGTGCCCAACCTCCTCCTGTTGGGGGCGGGGCTTTGTGGGGGGGGAACCTGGCCACAGGGAAGCAGTGGTTTCTAGGCTGTGTTCCCAAGCGCCACTTGGCATCTAGCAGACAGGCTCCTCCCAGAACCTTCCTCATCATCACGGGAAGGGGAGACTCCGTCCTTCCAGTTTCTTAAGCCATAAACCTCGGATTCATTCTTGGCTCCTTTTCTCTCATTCCACCACCATCCGCCCTCGTGGCAGCAAAACCTGTCGGCTCCACCTGTGGAATGTTTCCAGAACCCTACCACTTCTCCCCACCTCCACCTAGTCCAAGCCAATGTGTGCTTGGCCTGACAGCTGCCTCCAGCCACTCTGCACACAGAGTCACTGAAAGTTGGGGGACATTACTCCACCGCACAGCCCAGCCCATCCCTTGACCTTCATGGCCCTGTTCTCTGAGTTCATCCCCCGGCCCCCGCTCGGGTCCTCAGGAGCTCTGTACCTTCTGTTCCCTTTGGGGGAGAGCCCTTCCCCAGAACCCCACCCCTGCCCCGCCAACTTCCTGACCACTCCCTTCACGTTCTCTGCTCACACCTGCCAGAGCGAACCCTTTCCACATCTCCCAGCCCCTCACGCGCATCTTTGCTTCCTACTCATTGACCCTGTCCTATTCCGCATTTGTTTGCTGCCCTGCTCCCTTCGAGAATGTAAGCTTTCAGAATAAAACATATAGTTTTATTCACTGTGGGATCTCCAGCAGCTTGAATAGGGCCTGGGATAGAGCCAGTGTTCAGTAATTACTTCTAGAATAAATGTGCTGATTTTATCCTCAAATGAGGTGGGTATGGTTATCCTTTTTTGCCTCATTGGGAAACTGACACTGGGAGAGGGTCAGGGACCAGCTCTGGGTCCCTCAGTGGACCCTCGGTGCGTGCCAGTGGCAACCTCCCTGGGCAGGCTCTGCGCTCAGGCTCTGGCTCCCCCAGGTCCAGCCCAGCAGGCTGGTGTACAGTCAGCATTTTTGTGTGACCTTGAGCAGCTGCCTCTACCTATCTGAGCTTTAATTTCCTCAACTGAAAACGGGGTCACACAAGTTCCTACCACTCACTATGAGGACTCAGTGAGACAACAGGTGTAAATGGCCTAATGTACATTCTAGATAAGCACAGTAGCGCCCCCCCATTCTCATTTTGGTGGAAACAGTCCCAAGTTCACCGTGTTTAGTGCAGTAAAGGTGATGTAGTATGCCTAAAAAGAAACGTGCTTTACCTCTTCTGAAAGACTGTAAATGGATCTTGAAATAGGAAAAACAAAGGCACGTGCGTGCACACACACACACACACACACACACACACACACACATCCTCTTTGTCACACTCTAAATCCTGATACTGATTTTAGGGAATCTGGTCAAAGGGTTGCTGCATACAGGGGAATGCCCCTGGCCTCCCTGACTCCCTTTGCCGGGGTGGGGAGGGGGAGACACTGCTGTCCACCTGCCAAAGTCCTTCTGGCCTCCTCCCTGGATGCCGTGGCTGCCCAGGACCTTTGACTCCCACACCCTCCTCTGTTGTTTTTTTTTCAGAAGTAGGTTCTAATGTGCCTCTTGCTGATGGAGGACTTTGGCCAGGGTGCGGGTCTGGGGCTGTGGGATTTGATGGGGAGGTGACAAGGGGCTGTCAGGTCTGGCTTTGGCTCTCTCGATAGCTTCCCAAGTTCTAAAAGACCCAGGTGTCAGGCTCAGGTCCGGAGTGTGGAGGTGGGGGGGCGGATGTGGAGCATAGGTACCCCCATCCCCTGCATCACCGTGAGGATTTATGAGATAACCCCCAGGTTTACAACCCGCCGGACACATAGTAGGTGCTCAGTCAATGTTGACTGCAATCACTCATGTGCTAGTGTATGCACCACACGTTGGCTGAGCACCTGCGAGGCGTCAGGCACGCCGCCTCCTTGCTAGACCACAATGCACGCTCAGTGTGACACAGCAAGTGGACTAGAAGTGTATGGAGAGGAGGGGGCCGTCCCTCTGAATTTGACCTTTATCTCCCAGTAGATGGGAACCCTGGCTGTTGGGGAGGGCCCAAAAGCGGGAGAGGAGACAGCAGGGAGAGGACAGAAGGAAGGGGAGGGCAAGGGGGAGAGGGGGAGGAGCAGGCAGAGGAAGGAGGGGAGACATGAGGAGGGCAGAGGGGGGAGGAGGGAGTTGGCAGTCCGGTACCTTCTTCGGCTTCCAGCTCCTCAAGCACCCCTGTCTCTTGGCACTTTTTGCTGTGGGCCTTCGACTTCATGTGCTTAGTCAGATTCCCTGGAAAGAAATGAGAATGGACTCAGGCTCTTGGCCGCAGGGCAGGGGGACAGAGAAGGCCAGGGGCTCACTGATGCAGTGCCCGGTGGGCAGGCTGTGGCTTCGAAGACCCGTCAGGGCCCCGCCGTCTTCAGGGGCTGAGCAGGGGAGCCGGGACATCCCTGCGCCTGGGTGCTCAGGCTGGGATGTGTCCCACAGCCATAGTTTAGGACCGTGCTCAGGAGCTGGGGGAGGGAGGGAGGGGAGCGGGCTGGGAGACGGCAGAGGGTGTAATGAGGAAGTGAGATGCTGGTTAACAAACAAACAGAAATTAAAAAGACAACTCATGTGGAATAGGTTTTTCCTGCTTTGGGTTTAATTTGGGCCCCAGGAGCTAGTGACCCTCATGGAGCAGGATTTCTGGCCTTCTCAGATGCTGGGATGCCCGGAGGGGCCCTGTGAACCGATGTGCTGGGTGGGTACTAAGGATGCCCTTCTGACTGAGGCCATGAGTGGGGCACCCCATAGGGTTTGGGAGAAGAACCAGGACAAAGTTACAGTTAGAAATGGAGAAAGAGCAGAAGATATAGGGAAGTCTGCTGGACAGGGACCTTGAGCAACAAAGCCTTCCTTAGAGAAGTCATGGCCCGGGCCTCTCTTTCTCCCAGGTCACTGCGCCATGCAGACAAAGGCAGGGAGGGCTGGGCAAAGCTTCTGCCCACTCCATCCCTGCCTCTGCCCTAAGCCGTCCAACCAGCCCCACAGCCGTGGGCAGGGGCAGCAGTTCTGTGGGATCGGGGAAAAGGTAGTGATACCTCTGTTCTCCCCCAGGCGTGCACAGCACATCACAGATCACAAACCTCTGTGGGCAGGAGCACCGGGGAAGGAGAGGCAGAGCACCCCAGTCTGCCCCAGAAGGATGCAGGCCAGAAGCCTCAGGATGCTCCTCTGAGCTCAGCAGCCACCTCTAAATGGTGATGATCTCACCATAGCTGGCAGATTGCTACATTCGCCCATGATCGTTCATATAACAATCGTCAGTGCCCCGAGTCAGGTGCTCTGTCTCACTGAGCTTATTAATTGGCAAGTTTGAATAGATGGTTGGAAGAGAACAGAATGGACACTTGAACAGATGCAGAGCGACCGGTGGGTGGATGGATGGACGGACAGACGGGTTAGTGGGTAAGATGAAAAATGGGGTGAAGGAAGAAGGGGAAGAATGCGGACAGACGGACAGGACACTGGATGATTAGATGAGCAGATGGAGAGACAGATGGGGAATAGATGGTTAGATAAAAAAAAATAAATTGAAGGGTAGTTAGGAAAATGGGCTAATAAACAGGTGGGAGGCTGGAGAACTGGAGAGGAGAGAGAGGCAGGGGCGAATGGGAGAGTGGCTGGTTGGCTTGCAAGGGTGAGGGGTTATGTGCAGGAGGGGCAGACAGGAGGAAAAATGACTGGGCAGGTGGATGGAAGGGTGGATTGGTGGGATGACAGATGTGAGAACGGGAGGGACAGAATGAGAGAATAAATGGAAAGCTATATGTTAGGAAGAGAAACTCGGAGATGGCAGAAATGGATAGACAGGAGGACAGATGGATGGATGGGTGGGTAGGCGAAATAGAAGAGTCTGTGGGTGAGCCAAAGGGTGCTTCTTAATCATTCCGAGAATTTTAAGGAATCTATAGGGTTTTGCTGAGAAGGCAATGGGAACCTCAACCCGGGATTCCCTAGGATACGCAGGTCAAGGGCAGTGGGGATGGAAGGGGACTTCTTTCCTCTTTCTTCCCTTACTCCTAGTCTGTGACTGTATCCTTCCCCACTCAAAGTCTCCTCCTATAACCAGACAGAAACCTGGATCTTTTACTCCTGGCCAAAGGGAAAGCAGAGTCATAACTTCAAGAGGCATATTGGAGCCAGAGGGTCCCCAGAGGTCCCTATCTAACACTGGGGGCCTCTGCCCTCCCTGTCATGACCAAGTAAGCCCTGAGTAGGATGTCGAGGGCTAGTGAAGGCAGCTGGGGTCTTCCAGGGGCCCAAGATATCCGTGGTCTCCTGAGGTTCTGGGACTGGCCCACTGTCCCCAGACCACAGAGGACTGCACACACTGCCATCCTGGCTAGGACACTATTCATCATGCATGTTCCATCGGGAAGGTTTAGGTCTCTTTTCAACCAAGGTAGGTACCGAGCACACAACGGGTGCACAGTCACCACACGGGGGCAATTGCTCTCCTCACCACAGAAGCGAAGGGTTGGAAGGAACCTCCCAGACCTTGTAACCCAAGTGCCACCCGGCCCCGGGCAGGGGAGGGTGGCTTCTTGTTTCTGCTCTAACTTGGGGCCGTGACGCTGTTGGACATGATCACTGTCTCAGCTGCTGGGACGCCACGGGAGGGCTCCCATGGACCAGCACCGTGACCCCCCAGCAGGTGGGTTAATACAGCTAACCCCGTCTAGAAGCAGGTTCCGGGGCTTCAGGGGTCTCGCTCGCCGCACGCTGGCAGAATCGACCCAGGCTGACCCAGGAGCTTGCCAGCCTTGGGTCTGAGTTTGGGCCCCGTCGCTGGCTAGCTGTGTGCTCTCGGGCAGGCTTCTTAACCTTCTGAGCTCCCCCAGCAACTCTGAAGTCACACCTACCTCTCGGGGGTGCTGGGAGGAGCTGACGCTCACCTTGTGGGACCCCCTTCCCTCCTGAGCCAGGAACCCATCCCCGCCCGCGTGACCACCCCTCCAGACTGGGTGCCAGGGATTCTGCCACAGGCCATGCTGGTCATGGGGGACAGGAGGCAAATGGCTTCACCCTCTGGTCTGGGCTCAGGGGCTCCCAGGAGAAGGTGCTGGTGGCTCCTAGAGGCTGCAAGGAGGAGTCGGGGAGTCTGAGGGTACTCTGCCGGGACAGGCCGTTTGGTGTGGGTGACAGGAGACGAGGCTGTCTGAGCAGCCCTGAGTGTCACCTGGTGCCCTCCCTGACCTCCCCTCCCTGGGGCTCTTCTGTGAACGCAGGGAGGTGTACCCCATGGCGGCAGGCATCTTTTCTCAGCTCAGACACCCCTTCTCTGTCGAGGGGCAGAGCCTCAGCTTGCCAGGCCAAGTCCACAGCTTCTCACGGTCGTCCCAGCCCCCACCCGAAGACCCCCGGTCCTGGAATGAAGGAGGAAAGGCAAGCAGATGGAAAATGATGCGTGTCTGGAAAAGAGGTGGGACCCTTGCCGAGGGCACCGGCCAACGGCTCTGCCTCATTCAGCTTTGACCCCTCGCCCTCCTTTGGCCCCCGAGGGCCTGACAGACTGATGCCTGCCCACAGCTGTCATCGCTGTCCCCTGCGGCGACCGGCGCAAGGGCCTGTATGTGGCACAGCCACCCCACCGGCATCTGGGAACCATCTGAGAAGAGGAAAGGGGACGCCCACACCTCCACAGGGACATCGTGGCAGCCTTTCCCACACGACCCCCTGAGACACCTCCGCTCCCACCAGGAGTCCAAGCTGCCGCCGCAATGTCTGACACAGAGACAGAGACACAGACAGGCAGACAGAGACAGACAGGAAGGGCTCCCGGGCCTGGGCGCAGCCGGGTGGTGGTGGGGGGCATCCCGAGGACCACCGGGCCCAGCCAGAGCCCAAGGGTAAGAGGGGAGGGAGGGTACGGCAGCCTGAAGGAAGCCGAGAGCCTTAGAGGAGGTGTCGGAGGTTCCCGAGTGATGGCTGAAGGCCCACCCGGCCGGGAAGACACAAGGCCCTGGAAGAACAGGAGCGTCAGCATCCCGCTGCTTCCCTCAGTCCCTGTTCGCAGAGACAGCTAAGAGCAAACTTCATCTGCTGCAGCTGCCCGCCACCCACCCCGACCGGCCCCTCTCTGCAGTCACAGTTAGAGATGCCTCCATTTCAGATCCGCTTCCTGCTTTGGCTCTGAAGGTGTGGTCTTCCAGAAGCCTCTATGAGCATTTGAAGAGAGCTCAGAACTCTCCCTGATCACTGGCTGGGAACCCACCCTCCTGGGCCTGGCCTGCAGGCAGTGTAGGCGAGCCTGCACACCCAGGACTCCACGGCCCGGGGCGTGCAGAGTGTCTGCTGCCCCTCTGCTCAGGTTATGTCCTCTGGCCCCTCCGGGGCTCCATGCCAGTCCAGAGGGACCCAGGAAGGGACTGCAGACAGGCTTGGCATGGCATCCAGTGGAAAGAGCTCTGGAAAAGAGATGTTCATGCCAGGGACCAGACCTTTTCTCTCCAAAAAGGCAGGGGAAGCTGGAAGGGACCGTCTTTGGAGAGTGCTCTGGGTGGGAACCTAGATGGGTTTTTCTAGTCTCACATGGCAGGGGGAAGGCTCCCCAAGATGGTCCTCTGGGTGCTGGGCCCAGGTGAGCTCTGGGTAACGCTGCGCTGGGATGTACTATATATATACAGGACTCTGGGGCTAGACGCACCCATGATGTGGGGAGGCCAGGTACCAGGCCTACCTGTCCTCTCTGGGGACCCTTTGGAACATTGTTTATGAGACGCCAAGGGAGAAGATTGGAGAAAGAAAGTGGGAGAGAGGGCGCCTCCATGCCACCCAAAATGTAGGTGGGAAAGTTTGAGGCCCCCTGAGAAGGACGGCCAGAGGACAGAGGAGGGCAGGGGTCGGTGAACGGGGTTAGGCGAGCAGAGATGGAGCTCGGGCAGACAGGGTCTGGGAGCCAGGAGATGTGGTAAACTGCCCCCGGATCCAGTCCAGAGAGAGCCACGGGGGCCAGCAAGAGGAAGAGGAAGGGAGAAAGGCTGGTGAACTCTGCAGGGCTTGGTCTGGCCTCTCTGGCTGGGAGCAGCTTGACCAACAGAAGAAAGATCAACCGGGGCACAGCTGAATCTGTTCTCAGGTTCTGTCTGTGGAAACACCACACGGCTCCAGTGGGGGCCAACATGGAGGCCCCCCCAATTGCTCAAAGTGGGAGACAGGGCCCTCATGCCCAAATCCTTACCCAAGAATCTGCAAAGCACCAGAGGCTGAAGCCATCAGGGGGGGTCAAGAGCCCCAGCCCTTCCTCGGCTTCACCTCTGTCCCTCCGCTCAGCTACCAGGAAGCGATGCGTAAGCCACCGCGTCTTCCCTGCCTGGCCTGCGGGAACCGTTCAGGTAGGAGCCTGGTCCAAGTCCCAGGGACTCGGCCCCACTTGTTCACCTGAGGGTCCGGGCAGCTGTAGCGGGACAATTCTTCCTTTCTCAGGTGACAGCCAGAGCCTGTGCTGAGCCTGCCTTGGGGCGTGGCCGGGGCCCCAGATCGGGGCTGCCAGCCAGGGCAGTGGGGAGGTGAGCGGGCCTGGGCTGAGAGCTGCAGAGTGGCCAGGTGGGTGGGTGCGAACATGGTCTGAGGGGTGAGGCGGGTGGAGGCAGGGGCGAGCTCTGCCATGAGAAGTGACCATGCGAGTGTTCTATGTGGCTCGGAGTGGAATGGAGTTCCAAACGCAAGAGTGGTGGTGACAAGTGTGGATGCTGGAGCTCCCCGGCTCGGTGGATTGAGGGCGAAGGAGACATGCAGCAGGACAGGGGTGAGGAGAGAAAATCAAAACCAGGAACTGTGTGCAAGAGTGCCACCTGGCGGCCGGGGAAGCAGGCAGGCGGAGGGGCTGTGTGGGGTCCAAGAGGACAGGCTGGGGCAGCTGGGGGGGTGCGGGGTCGGCGGGTGGGGGGGTGCCACGACCCCTTCTGGAGCGGGCTACACAGCTGGCCGCTGGGGAGCACGGGCAGTGGGGGGACAGGGAGGGGCCCAGGCCCCAGGCAGAGCGGGTCCGGGCCTCTGAGTTCTGAGCTAGGGCTCCCAGAGGGGAGCTCCCTACAGTGGGCCGGGGCAGTGCTCCAGCTGACTGTCTCTTACCTTTGGTTTTAAAAGCAAAGTGACAGTGCTTGCACACATAGGGCCGGACGTCAGTGTGGGTGCGGATGTGTTTCTTCAGCATGCTGGGCTTCTTGCAGCGAATTCCACACTCCTCACAAACATATTTCCCTCGGCCGCGGCCTCGCACATATACATACTCTTCGTTTGATTTGTACCTATGAGCAACAGGCGTCATGGTAAAGGAGAAAAAAAAAGGAGGAGAAGAGGCTGGTTCCCACCTCAGAAGACGCACACACTTCCTAGGTATACCTCCAGCCCTTCACGGATACTGGGCGAGAAGGACGTGGACCAGAGAGAACCGCGTGGGGGCAGGGGACAGGGAGTCGCCCTGGGGATCCGCCGCGGACCCCTTGCACCTGCCGTGCCCTTGGCCGCATACGGCTGCCCTCTCTCTTCCCTCCAGAGGCAGCAGGCCCTGTGTTTCCCGCCAGGAAGGGAAGCCACAGGTTCACGGAGTGCCTCTGTCCCAGAGCCAGCCTTGGCCTCAGGCTCTGCCTGCAAAGGACGGCCCCTCTGGGCCAGCAGAATCACAACGCAAGTGAGGGAAGGTGACAACCACTCTCCAGCGGCTCCAGCGGCTACCGTTTGCCGAGGGCTCCCTCTGGGCCCACACTTTACACAAATTACATCGCAACCGTGAGCACGAGCTCTTAAGAGCCTAAGGCTCAAAGTCCCGCAGCCAGAAAGGTATGGACCTAGGATCTAAACCTGCCTGCTCCAAAGCCTGCCCATCTCCCGGGAGTGGCAACAAGTGCTAAAACAGCCCGTTCGGAAGCCGCCTGGACACCGGGGTGACAGGAGGTATGTGGGACCGCTGTCGCGTCCCTGTTTGGAGAGTCAGAAACTAAGAGTCCTGCGCGGTCTCCCCGACCACATCTCCTGATGAGCTGTAAAGCTCTCAGGACCCAGATTCCAATCACCTTGCTCCCAGGGACCCTCCGGGGTCACCGCGTCAGGGCCCAAAGCTTTCCTAGGGCAGCTCCTGGGGCAGCCAGCCCACCTGCCAGGCCTCAGAGCCACCAGGGCTCTTGGACCTGAACCAGAATGGTTTTATTTCCACTGAGAAGGAAGGCCACGAGGCTCACACGCTACGATCCTTATCAGAACGCCTGGTTGTCCCTGATGCTACAGCCGTGCCCATCTCCCCACAGAGGCAGGAAAGGCTCTGCTGGGACCGGGAGGGTGGTTCCTGGTGGGATTCCAGGACAAGAGCCTTCCGATGCATGAGGCCGGTGGGAGCGGGGGTCTGACGGCATGGGCGCCTTAGGGGAGGTGCGACCTCTCAGCCCACTGAGCATGCCCCCCACCACCCAGCAAGGGGCCTGCCTATGCCCCAGACTCAGGCTACACAATAGGTCCCAGCCCAGCAGTCTTGGCTCTCAAACTCAGGGCAGGCACAGGGGGCAGGGAGGTGGCCGGGAGAAGGTGAGGCAGTGGGGACAGCAGCTGGGACTCAGTCCTGTTCTGCAGGGACCATCAGCTTCTGGCTGAGAGGATGTCACAGGATGACCTGAAAGAGGGGACTCTATGGGAGGGCGCCAGCAGGTGGCGGTGGAGTGATCACACACACACACACACACACACACACACACACATATGCACACACACACTCACACCTACCACCTCCCCACACTCACACACACAGTCTCACACATGCACTGCTCTCCACGAGTCCCTGAGGGCCCTGGTATTTGTCAGCTCCCTTTGGCCAACCAGTGCCTCTCCTGTTGTCTGAAACCACCTTCCCTCCTTAGAGGCCCTGACTGGCTGGTGGTGGGACCCTGTTCTCCGGGGAGGGGCCAACTTTCACCTGGTCCAGGGCGAAGTGACATCTTGTGTTCAAGGGGAGGAAGGGAGGGCTGTGGGGGTGGCGGGGAGAGATGATTCTTATCACTCTTATGAAGAACCCCCTATGTGCAAGCCCAGGAGACCCGTCTCCGAGAGACAACAGTTCATCCTCACGCAGCAGGATGCCTCAGGGCCACCAGGGACCCAAACCACACCTCGATTTTAACTCCTGTGTCCCTCTATGGCCCCCCAGAAACCAGTCTAAGATGGAGCCGGTGCCCTTTTCCCAGCCGGAGAAGAAAGAAGTGAGAATGGCTTGGTTTCTTCTTGGCAATGGAGGCTATGCCAACTGGATCCTAACCTCCACTTGGCCCTGCCCGGCGGGTCCATGATACCCCCACCCCTCCAACATCCAATGACATAGGCGTCCCTCGGTGCTCCCTGGCCCTCCCCCCAACTGCTGTGCTGGGCATTGTAAGCTAGGCCCACCGCCACTCTGACTCTCCTATATCTGGCCCCTGCCCTGTGCTCGAGCCAATCAGTGTCAGTACTAGAGTCTGTGACCTGTGGCTGCTCTCAGACCCCCCAGTTCTTCCCCCACAGCAAGCTTAGACCATAAGTGGTCTTCCCTGGCTCACGCTTGCATGTGTGCAGAAAGGCACATGTGTGCACGCACATACACATAGAAAAAACTCTGTTTGAACTCTCGAGCGTTGTGCCTTGACTTGGGTGCCTTGGCCATGGAAGGTGTGTATAACCTGCTGGGGAGCATAAGGGGGCTTGGAGGGGCCAGAGAGGATGGTGAGAGATGGAGGCAGGAAGGGGGAACTCCAGGCAGGGACCAGAAACAAAGGCAAGAGGGATTAAAAGGCCTGATGGACTTGGTGGGGAGAGCAGATGAGGTGGGATGGGCAGGACGGATGGGATCACCATTCCCATCAGCCCTGAACGCCACGCTAAGAAGTTTAGACTTGATCAAAGATAAAGGCTCAGAGAAAAGATGCTTCCTTGGCATCAAGAGGAAGGGTCTGGAGGGGGAAGAGCCTTCGAGTCCCCATAAGAAGCGCGTGTTTTAGGACAGGGGGCCATCGAATGGGGGAAGGGTCACAATGAGGCAGAAACCAAGATCAAAGTATTCAATGTGGCTGGCTCAAGTGATACCACCCGTGGGTGTGGAGGGGAGTGATGCAGGACCCCAGGCCTTTGCTGAGAGTGAGATGCCCGTGAGGAAGATGAGAAGAGATGCCCAGGGTATGACTGGGACTCACGACGGGACGTGCAGATCTGTAGGGAGGAAGACGACAGTGCAGGAGAGGATTGAAAAAGAGAAGAGGGTAGTGTGAGGGTCTAGGAGGCTCCCCAATGTTGGGGGGCAGAAATACAGTCCCAACGCACCTACCCCCCAAGCAGCAACTTCCTGGGAGCTCAGGAGGTTTGGAAGCCAAGAGAACGGGACTGAAGCGACAGCAGCCACCTGCTCCAAGGTCCTGGAGAAGGATGGTTCCCTAGGAGGAAGGGCCCTAGGAGGAGGAGGAAGGGACCCAGGACTTGAAGAGCGTGGTCCTGGCTGAATGACACAGAGCCTATGACTTCTCTACTCCCTGAAGGCTGAGACCGGGATCTGTACAGCTCAACACTCTGTGGTTCCCAAAGGGCCCAGCCCAAGGACAGGCATGGGGCCGCCATCCAGTGTGGCCTGGATCCTCCCCACCAGCTCAGGACCAGCCTCTTCTTCCCCAGCACTCCACAGCCTCTGCCTTCTGGCACATTCTGCCATCACGGACCACACGCTCACCAGTCAACCAACAAACCAACCAACCAACCTCAAAGCCTTGCTGGACCCCAGCCCACTCCAGTTACTGCTCCCTCTGCTCCCTTTCTCAGCCCAAGCCAGGGAAGGGCAGCCCAGGTCTGCTCTCCCTGCCTCCTCCCCATGCCCACTCCTGAGCCGCCATGATTCCGCTTCCGTCACACGTTGCTAAATCCAAAGGACAGCTGCCTTTTCCTGTCTGCCCTTTTGCCCGCTTTCTAGAGGCTCCTGCCTGGCTTGGCGATGCTTCTCTGCAGGCTCCTTCCTTACCCCTTTCCCTTGCTGCCACTCCCCAGGCTCCAGCCCACACTCTTCTCCCCTCACCCTTCCCAGGTTACGCCCTCTGCGCACGCCTGACTTTCCACCTGGACTCCGATGGATTCCCTGTGCTCTCCAGGTCTGACTCCCTGCAGTGCATCCAGATGTCCCCTCAGTCTCTCGCCTGGTGGTGGTCAGGCCCCTCTCGCCCTGCACGTCCAGAAGCACGTTTCCACGTCCCCTCTGCAGCACCCTCTCCTCCTGGGCACCCGTCTCCACAAGCAGAACACACACGTGTATGGCTAGCGAAGCCGGCAGCCAGTCCTTCCTCTCTCCCACACAAGAGCAGTCGGAGAGCAGTGGCCCTGACATGCTCTGTCATGCTCCTCCCAGCCTGGGGAGATGCTCCTCCACCTCCGTCAGGATAAGGCCCTGTCCCTGCACGGGCACGCCACCAGGCCGGCTACCTCTCCAGAGCCCTGACCCCTGCACCTTCCCACCAACCATGCCAAACATCACTGGGGGCCACAAAGGCCCTTTCCTCCAGCCTTCTGCCCTCCCCAGCACCACCCCCCTACACCTGTCCAGCTCCTCATCTCCTTCAGGGCTTTGCCAAAACGTCCCTTCCTCCGGAGCCCTCTCTTAAACCTCTGAGCCTGGGGGTCCCCCCGCTCTTCCTTCCCGGCACGGTCAAGCTGTGTGCACTGGGACGGCCTTCTCAACGTGTGTAGCTCCCATTATCCCAGCTGTTGGTACATCCCCAGGACGCAGCACAGTGCCCGACCTCCACAAGGGCTCAGCACTCCTCGGCTGCCCATAAGAAAGCCAGACCAAGGCCTTCTTTCTGGGTCTGCTCTAATCAGACTCCCAGCCATGACATCCCCTCTCTATGAGGCTAGAACGCGGGCTCAACACAATGCAGTGGCCTCTCCACAGGCATGGCACCTAGCCAGTCCCTCCTAGCCACGATGGACAGGCTGAACTCTCTCCAGTCCCTGGTAAGAACTATTCTGCTCACAGGTCAGCAGGAGACCTGGGTCCGAGTTCCGGCTGCTGTTCAAACTTGTCGGGTGACCTTGAGTCAATCAGTCCCATTCCTTGGACACAGTCAATCTTCATTGTCCTAAGATACGCCAAGCCCTGTCACACATCTGACCTCAACCAGTGCTCGCATCGGCCTTTTACCATTGTCCTCATTTTATGGAAAAGGGAACCAAAGGCCCCTGGAGTTTCAGTGACGTGGCCGAGTCAGCCAGTCAGCAATCTCCCCCACCCTCAGCTCCTCAGCCCCGCACAGAC